GAGTTCTTTCCCAATCTATTTTCAAAAAATTTTAATAGAAAAAAGTTAAGCTCAAAACAAAAAAGACAATTGAATCAAAAACTATTTACAGAATCAATATGGAAAATTGATCAAGCAAGTATGTAATTTAAATTGTTAATATTTTGGTTTAATAATATTAAAATGAATAAAATACAATTATTTATTATATTAGGCAACGCTGTTCATGCAAAAAATTGCATTAAAATTTCTGAAAATAGAAATGTGTGTTTTGAATGTACTAGTATTTGACATAATCAAATTTTATGCAATAAAATTACTCATTTTTTACCATTACTCGCTAATATCAAATTTACTTCAAAGTATTATTAGAAAGATAATCCATTAAAATATTATTTCCAAAATCTTGATCTTTATGATATGTGAATATACTTAATAATGAATCAGATATTCAATCAGAAAATCCATAGGTTTACTCTCGCTGACAAAGTATTGAAAGGTGTTTTTAAGGATACACTGGTATTTACTGAATTTTGCGAAGTCATGGATAATGCTATTGAAAGAAAATTAAAAAATAAATGTAAAAGAAACTTGAAATATAGTGATTAGTTCACAAGTTTTTTAGTTATATTATGAGGGTTTAGTTCAAGAGTTTTGGACTTGTTTTGATAAAACTTAAAAAACAGAACAATGCAATCAATTTGGTTAGTATTTTTAATTTTTTTATAATTATGTTTAATAAACTTAAAAAAAAATTCAAAATTTTTTTATTTTAATTTTAATAGACAATTAAAAAGAAATAGTAAAGATTGTTTAACCAATCCAGATTTATGTTATGAAAAAATCGCTAGATTCAAGTAATTAATTGATTTAATTCAATATGATGGCCCAATAGTAGCTATAATTAATAATACAAAATTAAATTACGTCTTCAATATTCATCTACACTTAGATATATTGTTGGATTAATATTTTCTAAAAAAGAGACAAAATCAATGTATATATTATGCTTCAAGTGTTAATTTGCCTTAGAGGCTAACAGGATACTAAATATATAATGATAAAGATGATCATCAGTAATGCTATCCAGACATTATAAAAATGAGCCAGTAATTTAAGCCAATTGACATCAAAAGCAAATCAATATTTAACACACAATATATATGCAGATATACCTAACATAATTAGTAAAATTAAAAATGAAAAAGCCATTACAAAAGATGTTCACGCTTATATATTACAGGTATATTTTAAATATTTATATTAAATTATTTAAATTATTTTATCACTGAATTTTTGGTGAATTTGATTTAGATTCCTTTACTAAAATTTCTACTTATAATAATTGCGTTAATATCAAACAAAAAAATGATAATTCAAAAACTATTAGTTAATTACATAAGAAACTTATTCAAGAAATTGCTTCTCAACTTAAAATTCATATATTATCCATTGGTTCTGATGGTGCTATTACTAAATTCCAAGTATAACAATCAATAATTGATATACAAACTTTTTAAAGACTTTTTATTTATAAATTTATTAAATATTCATTTTTCTTGTCTTGATTTTAATAATAGTTTGGGTTCAAGACCTAAAACATGCAAAAAAGACTGCTAGAAATGCAATAGTTTTTTGAGTTCAGCTTTTAACCTTTGGAATAACTTCAGTCTAATATGATCATTTTTTTACTTTAATTAATTAGCCTAATTCAATTATATATAAAAATAATATAATTAAATTAAACAAGCAAGATAAAGATGCTGCTTATTGAACATTTTACTCTGCAAGTTTAAAGCAATATCTTACACATGAATTTTAAATAAAAGAAGAAATGAAAGGATTTGTAATATATTTGTTTATTATAGGTATGTAACATTTAATTTTTATTATTAGAAATTTAGATAATAACATATTTAAATTAAATTTTTAGCTGTTTTTTAAATAGGGAAAATTGTTGCTTGCTATTTAAATCATAATATTTCACCAATTGAAAGAATAAGAATGGTAATATCAGGTTATTATTTTCATTATTTATAGCATTTTCATATTGAAACCCTAAATAAAAAATATTACAACTTCATATCTATTAAACAAAATTTTCTGGCAAATAAAAGTTTTGCTATTTTTACTTCTCTCTGTGAATCAATGGTATTGCTTATAAAAGCTCATCAAGATTATTATTCAAAAATACTTTTTCTTTCTTGATTACATGAATCTGAATCATGTGAATATTTCTTTAGTATAGCATGACAAATAAATCTGAATTTTGATTTGCTGAATTTATTTAGATATTACCTAAGATTTCACAATACACAAAGGCTTTATGGAATAAAAAATTAAGTTTTGATAAGAAAAGATCTGTATGTGAAGGTAGAGTATACAGTATACAGTATATTTTTATTAAAATACATTTTATTTCATTAATAATATTATGAATTTTATTTAGGCTATCTTTTTGACTATTCTTCTGACTAATTGGACAAGTTGACTTTAGATAAACTTCGCTTATGATCTAATGATAAATAAATATCAGAAACAATTTATTATTCACATTATCTTACATATGATTTTGCAGAATATGCAGACATGATTCAATCATCTAATATTTCTATTGATATAAATGCATCATAAATTTTTATTGAATCACAGAAAAGTGACATTTCAAGTTCTGGTATTAATAAGCAATCCTATGATAATAATAACGAAGAATATGATTTAATATCTGCCATTAGTGAAGTTTTTTTAAAAATAAAATGAATTACTATTGAAATTAATGATAATAATAAACAAGAATCTAATGATGATTTTATTAAAGTTTGCTTATAATTAGATGAAATCGTTCAACCTCCTGATAACTTGTATATTTTAAATGGTGATGATAGTGGTAAGCTTTATTTAATTAAAATTTTCTTGCTTTTGACTAATTTTTATTAATTATTAATGCTACTTTTGATTATTATAATCAATTTATCATGTCGATATTTTTCTTATGATAATTTGAATTTTAAATTATTATATAATCAATGAAAATATCATAAGGCATATGGGTAGTATTCTATTAAAATTGAGGTACAGATCATATGATTTACTATATCTCGTAACCCACTTTTAATAGATCAGCTCCCATATTATTCAAAACCTCTTAAGTGAAAATTCAAAATATTTGGGATGAATTTAAGAATGACTGAGAAATCAAGTGCAATTCAATCAAATTTGGCCAGTATTTAGTTGCTTATTTTACCAAGAATAAAAATCTAAAGCAAAGATTTGTAATTTAAAGAGAAAAATGATGGAAAGATAATTGAAAGAATATTGCTATAACATTAGCACAATTTCATGTTCAAGAATTGGCTAATAAGTCTAGGGTAGTAAGAAATGTTCAATTGAAAATAAGCTTTTATTAATTTATCTTTAATTTTTACATTTAAAAAAATTTAATTAATATGTTCTTTAAATAGTTTCAAATATTGAAACTGCAAATATAACTAAAGAGTTTCCAATATTAGGAATTATGTATTTGTTCGATATAGTTCTCAAATTTGCATTAAATAGGTAAAAGCTTTATATTTTAAAGTATATAATCATTATTGCTATGCTGATAAGCCTAAGACTTAAATGATATTTCATATATTTTATTACATGTATTTGTTCTTTATATTTAGATTTATTTACTGATATCATTAAGGAAAATTATTATATACTTATACATTATATCCCTTTAAATATTATATATTATATTAAAAAAAGAAGTATAATTATTGAAGGAAATTTTTTAAAATTAGTTGGCAATGAAAAACATTTTATTTTGATTATTTTAGACAAAAAGATATAATTGAAAAAATAGTGGAATAGATTAAATACTAAATAAATGCCAAATTCTTTTAAATAAATAAAATTAATACAATAAATTATGTGATCGTAAAGTTCAAATTTAATTTATGTATTTTTACAGGATTTTTGATATCAGATGTTAATAATACGTATCACACATATGAAAATCCCTGCATACAGCTAATAATAAAAATTCAAAATGCCACCTGACCCCTATATATATATTTCTAGATCCTATTAAAATATTAAAGTTTAATAAAATACTTTAATTAATACTATTAGTTTATTAATAATACTTAATTAGTTTTAAGTAATTTAATTTTTATTAAACAAATAATTAGTTTATTAATTATTACTTTTATTTATTTTGCATTTAAAATACTTTATTTTTATTATTATTATTATTTTTATCCATAATCATCATCACTATCTAATTTTATAGTTTTAAAAAATTATTTAATAGTTAGTAAAATTGATATTTTTCATTATTTAATTTTTTAAATAACTAAATCTATTTATATATTTATTAAAAATATTATTTATTATAAAGAAGATTTAATAAAAATTAGATAATATATATTGAGTCTCTAAGTAAAAATCCCATAACTACTACCACTTTTAGATTTAACAATAAAATTATAAATTAATAATAAGAATCTAATAAAGAACTTAATCTAAGAAGAATAATTTCATTTTCACTTCTTTATCAGAATCATTTGATAATTTGTCAAAACCTCATAAATCTGATTTGATTTAATAAAAAATAATAAATTTTCAATATTATCATTTTATAAAAAAAATTGTGCCATTATTACTTTCAAAAGTCACGAGACAGCCAATATTATCCTCGAAATCAGTTATATTTTATATGATCTGCAAATTGCAAATCTGTAATGAATTGTCGATCATTTCCAAAAATGATATTTAAAGAACTATATGGCGTTAAACCTGCATGTCACACATTAAAGGTATGATAATCAGTTTCGCATCGTCGCACAATTATTCAATTATTTGTTTTTATAAAGTAGTTATTACATCAAACATCATATAACTTATGATTGACTCAGGTCAATTGATGTTACTATAAATGGCATTCAAATTAAAAAAAATTTTTTATTATAATAAATCGAAAAATCATTATAAAAAGTGTGCTCGTTTTATTTTTTTTTATTTTAAAAAAAAAAAAAATGGGTAATAATCATGAATCATTCTTCTTTACACAAAAAAATGACAATCAAATTTATCACGTTAATTTTAAAGAAATTCCACAAATATTAGAATTAGACGAATTAGACATGATTGTAACTTATCAGGTTCAATCATATTCTTGCGTATTTTATCATCACCAAAATGATAGCAATAAAGTCTATAAAATAACATGCGAAAAAGTCTCGCACGCTCTAATTGTCGAATATTTAAACAAAAGCATACATGGCATCGAATTCAAGCAGAATGAGCAACATAAAGAATATTTAAAGTTTTCGAATGAACAAAGAAAGAACCTGGAGTATAATTTGAAACAATATTTATTTAATTATTTAACACCAAAAGTTATTGAAAAGTCGAATATGATTAATAAATTGTAAACTTGTATCTACATTTCTTTGTTTGTGGCATTTATTAATGTAGCATTAATATAGCTTATATATTTATTTCTAACCGATATTATAGCTGGTTTGTTAACCTTTCTGGTAGATTAGTTCTCTTCTCTATTTGTAAATGACTTGGAGGATTTTTACTTAGTATGTAATAAACTAAGTCACATCATAACTCCAGACTTTGTTAATATATCACACATTAAAAGTTACAAGATGCATTTTTAATAAACAAATACAGTTTAATGCTAAATTTATTTAAATACTAATGTATTAAAGAATAGAAATCTTTCGTCGTAAAATGGACTATGTAAATTTTTTATTGGTAATGACTAGAAACGATTAAAGAGTGCTTTGGTTGACACAACCTCAGCTGTAAACTTATTGTCATGTTACAGGGGCAATTATATTCTACTTTTTAAAACTATAATTTTAAAGACTTTCACATATTATAAAAATAACAAAACCATTTTAGTTTTAAAAATTTAAATATTTTAAATTTAAATTATCTTAGCAAATTATTAACACTCGCTTGTGCTTTAACAATCATAGCATTATTACCGTCACGACGTTTATTTGCACTACAATTACGTTTGCTATTTTTACCAATTTGTGGGAAAGAATACCATCCCCAAAACAATCCAAATCGATTTCGGAAATGTGGTTCTGTGCTCCCATCACTGTTGAATTGAACATTCAAATATCTCTAGTATCATTGAAACCTCAAATCTTCAGTTGAACATTCCTGCGATGGTAGTTTGGCCGCATTCGTCTTGTGAGTAGATGGAGAATCCCTTAAATGACGAACTGAACGTCGATTCGGCGATCGTACATTTGCACACTGTGTTTCTTTTACTCAAAATGTATCTTTCAGAATTATTTGAAAATTAGTTTCGTTTTTCAAGGTTTACTAATTCATCTTTAATAGATATTGCTGCTGTAGCAACAACGAAAATGAGAACAAAAATAGTTGTAAATTGTAATTTTTGAACCTATATATATCAAATTTTGTTATTGGACCACTTGGCTGATCTCGGTCATGTGCACAAATTTAGCTTAATAATAAAAATTTTGGATTCCTCCCATATATATTTTTATTTTTGTTCTTTACCAAAAGAAAATTTTCATTTGCAAGAATATGACTTTTTGCCACAGTATCCACAAAATCTTGTTGTTTGACCAATTTGGAGATTGAATGAAAGATATGTAATAAATAACTTTAATTAAAAAAAAGTAATTGTTCTTTTTAATCGGTTTTAGATTCTAAATTGATAAATTCTTGTGTAACATTTGAAAATGGCAAATATTTATCATCCTTTGTTTGTAGAACGATGAAGTATTTTTTTTTGCGTGTGAAATTTCAAGTCTCTACCAAAATGTATTTATTACTGCGCCATATTATTTCATGTGTAATATTCTAATTAATTTTATAAAAATTTTTACCTAATTAGTCCGGAGCGTAGAGGAGGACTATATAATTCTTCGTTATTTGACTTGATAACGGTCCGTAAATTATACTAATACAAATATATTATATTTTAATACAATTTTTTGGAATTACAATTTAAATCCAATTTCTTTGACTGTCATTTCAAGTATGTAATTAAGCTAAATTGTTGCACAAGTCATAAAATCCGTAAACAATAAATCAGACAACTTTTATAAACGTTTATTCGTGTATTCTAAACTTTACATATGTTTGAGAGACAATAATGTCATTTGATTTTAATGGTGACACAAAATAAAAAAAAAAGAACTTTCGTCAATTCCATCTAAGAGATTAATAACCAAATCCAAGCATTATATGGGAACGTTTCCAGTAAAATCAAGTCATGAGGCATAGTAAATCATATGATCCGTAATGTGATTTTACCGGAAACGCTCCCATATGACAAAATTTCAAACTATTAATAAATTCCAGAAAATATTTCTTTCCATTTTTCATTGCGTTTTTTCACTGGTATGGTAATAAAAATAAGCGTTGCTGCATATGACTGTAATTGATTATCAATAATATTAATATAAGCTTCTGATTATTGATAATAAATAATTCGATATAAAGAACCTTATAATTATTATATAAAATCTTGAAAAAGAGATTGTTTTTAAGATCAATCCAAAGGAAATTTGGATTCAATCCAATCTGGGTGATACAAATTCAGATTAAAGAATGCATCCAAAATAATGATATCACAATGTTGCTTTCTTCTAATTGGTTAGTAGCATACAGTAATAAGTACGATCGACAAAAAAAATTGCCAACATTTTGCCGATCATTTGTCGATCACTTATTCAATTTTATATGTATTAAAATATAAATAAAATTAATTAATATTAGATATTTTTACTAAAAAAAACTATTTTTAATAACATAAAAAAAAGTATCAAAATCAATATAGATTTACATTATTAGTAATTTAATAGCATTAAATATTATTAAAATTAAACAAAGATTAATAACTATTAATATTTATTAAAATATATTATTTTAATTTCAAAATTTTACATTTAATTTTATTATATAAAATAATAAATTTTATTTTTATTAAAGGCGTTTGCTATTTATTACCAGTAGTGATATCATGTAATTACAATCAAATTGAAATTTTTTTATTATTATTAATAATATTTTGATCCTAATATAAATTGATTGTATTAATTTATAAAATAATCTAAAACTAATCTTATCTAATAAAGATGCTTTCCATAATTATTTTTAAAATTTTTAACTAGTTGCAACTTAAGTTGCAACTCTTTGAGTTACAATTATTTATGAAATTTTATATTAAAATAAATTTACAAGGAGTTGCAACCAAGTTGTAACTTCTTAATTATGGTGATTATCTAACTTATTATGATTGATTAATAATCCTAATCCTAATTTTAACTCATAGTAAGATTATATAAAAATGAATATATAATACTGATGATGATCAGTATTAGTGATACATATTAATTTTCTTTATTAAATTAAGTTATTTTTAAAAATAACTTTAATATAATTAATATAATGTGATCTCTATAAAAGTTCTAATATATTTTGATCTAATAATCCAAATTTTATAAAATTATAATTATTTATAAAAACAAATTGATTAAATAAATAAAAATTTTTTTCAATATTTTTATTAATATAATATAAAATCATATAAGCTTAAGTAATATTGATTGATATAATCAATTAAAATATAACTTTTTAATATGATTTATATTTTTTTTGAAAATATAGCAAGTTTTCTATAATATACTTTTTATAAAATCTGCTTATTTACCAACCATTATTTTATTAATATGTATATTACTGACAATTATTTATTAATATACATTTTGCCAACTTAATTATTTATAAAAAATACAAGTTTTAAAAAAATAAAAACATTTATTAAAATAAATATTAATGTTAATATTAATTTTAATATCACTATTATTACTATCAAAACTTTTACTAATTTTATAACTAATTTATAATAAAAAAAAATATTATTTAAATATTTTTATAGTTGTATTATGATTATATTATAAATATTTAAAAAATTTCTGATATCTTCCTTGAGGTCTTTAAAGTATTTTATTGCTTTATGATATAATAAAAATGATTTATCAGTCAATTGATTATTTTTGTAAATAATTATATTGATAAATTATTATATTAATCAAATAATTATTATAAAACTAATTGTTAATAAAATGATTATATAAGAGTGAATGCTAAGAAAATGGATTAAATTGAAAATTTTTTTAAAAATTTATTTCTAAGTAAATTAAATATAATTTTTATTATTTGTGCCAAAATTTTAATTATTTAAAAAAATTTTTTTTTACAATTTGGTCCCTTTTCCTAGCATTCATCCTATATTAGTAAAATGTTCATAAATAAAATGATTATTATTAAATTATAATCTTTTTATATATATAATACAGTTTTGATGAAAAAAATAGTGATAAAAATCGATTCATTTCTAGATCAGATTGGATCAGCTGAAAAAAATATAACCAATAATATTGAAGTTACAATTGAACACAAATTTTCTAATTTTTGATTAATCAGATCAACTTGTCAAATATAATTGGATTATTTTTATAATATGAATCGAAAAATATGCTATAATTACAAGCCCTTTTAGGTAAATAGAAGAAGAAAAATTCAAGTGATAAAAAAAAAACATAGTTTTATAAACTGCTTTAATACAATAATTAAATACACAATATTTAAAGTCTTATATACACTACCTGGAAATAAGTTTGCGCGATTTTTTAAAAAAATAGTTTATTATCCTTTTTTCTAACAAAAAAAAGTTTATTATTGTTTTTTCTAACAAAATATTAGTATCTGGTTGGCCATCCATTATTGGCAATACATGCTTCTATTCT